TGTCTTCTTCACTACTCGTTTGATATTCTTGAATGCTCGCCACGCGTCACGTTTCTTTCTGCACAGCTCCGGAGTTAGGTCGTTCATCACGTTGACTTCCCGACCTAGATACACATAGTTAGAGCACTCGGAGATATTCTTTCCGTTTAGCGTGAAGCGAGCATCAGGTACCAATCCGTTTTTCATTAACATCGTTTTCGTTAAATCCAGTCTCAAGCCGATCCTTCCACAAGCATTGTCAAACTCGGCCAGCACTTGTTCCGCTTGCTCGATGTTCGGTGTTGTAAGCACGATATCGTCTGCAAAGCGGAAGTGATGTAGGTAGCGGCTGTTCACCTTCACTCCCAAGTCCTCCCATTCCCAATGACTTCCCATTCCGAATGTCGCATGATATTCTCGAGAGCAGCGCTGGAAAGTTTGGGCGAAATGGTACCGCCCTGCCGGACACCTCTCTTCACATTGATAATGACTTCCTTGTAGAATGGTGAAATCCTGATTGCGAAGTTGCCGCAGTTGTCATTTCGTACTCTCGCGATACTTCAATGAGCCTTGTAAGAGTGTGGATACCGAGCTCTCACCGAAACCGTGCTTTCTCGCATGGCTGTCCTTCAACTAATATTCTGCCAATCCTGTTCAGGATGACGCGAGTGAAGATTACAGACAGCAGGCAGATTGGGCGACTATTGCCAATATTGTCTGGATCTCCCTTTTTTATACAGCAACGCAGTCTTGCTAGTTCTCCACGACGTGGGCACTTTTCAGATACCGCATGAAGAGCTTGGCGGAGTTCTGACGATTACTAGTGGCAGACTCTTCAGATGTTTTTGGTTTGATCCTATCAGGACCGGGCGCCGTACACTTCTTCATGGACGTGATGGCATGTCGAATTTCGGAAGGGAGAACCGATGGGGCGATATTTTTGTCTTGCCTAAGATGGTAGGTAGTAGACAGGTAGACGTGGCTGTCGAAGAGATCCGAGTAGAAGTCGTAGATGACCTTCTCAATGCCCTTAGAGATGCAGTAACTGTTCCGTCAGGACGACGAAGGGAAGTCATCTGGGTCTTGCAATTGGCGAAGCTCCGTCGGGCTTTGCGAATGCTCTTTCCGGCCTCGGCGGCTTCGTCCATGACTGCTGCTCTTCTCTCTTTCAGATCTTCCTTTATCGCTTCTCTGCATAGCTTCGCAACTTTGGACATTTGTTGATAATTGCCTGTAGCTCGCGCGATCCCACGCTGGCGTATCAGTTCGAGAGTCTTGGAAGAGAGTCGTTTCTTAGCTACTTGTAGACTCTCTGCTTTCGTAGCACTATCGTAAATATGCTCGACGAGCCGGTTGTATTCTTCGTCGATGCTGTCGATAACGGAATCCTCCCATTTACTCGCAAGGGAAGCGAAGTGATCCCAGTTGATGGAGGTCTTGGGGCTTCGTTTCCGAAACTTCATAGCTCTCTCCCCACGCACTGAAAAGCGGAATCTAGCGCGGAGGAGACGATGGTCTGATCCCGTGTAGAACTTCGGAACAACAGCGACGTCGGTCAGGCAAAATCTCCGAATTGAAGATGATGTGGTCTATTTCATTATGGAACTGTCCACCAGGTGACTCCCATGTCCATCTTAAATGAGAGGGCTTCTGGAACTGCGAGTTACCATGGATGGTGTGGGCCGTCATGATAAACTCGGACAGCCTTTCACCCTGCATATTCCATTCCACTCCGTGAGTCTCGATGTGAAGCTCTCCAGCCGTTCTTCTGGGGCCAATCTTGGCACTAAAATCACCGACGACAACCTTGAAGAAAGTATGGTCTTCTCTGTAAAGCCTCTCCAGATCCATATAAAATGCTTCCAACTCCTCTTCTTCGTAGCTCAATGTTGGTGCGTAAGCAACGAAGATGGTTAGAGCTGGGGTTGAGCCACATCTTCTTGATCGAAAACGTCCGATTCGGGTTGTTAAGCCTTCGTACGAATCGATGTTCATGGCCAAGTGCGTATCGACGAGGATACCTACGCCGCCGACGCCTCTAGTGTCGCATGTTAGGACAGTTCTTCTCCAGTCTCAAATACAGCGTGCAGTGAGCTATGCCTTCTCGTCTCGATCAGTCCAATGATGTCGTCCTTGGTCTTCCTAGCTTGAATCATCAGTTCTTCTGCACACGCTTCCGATGCAAGCGTTCGTGCGTTGAAAGTAGAGATCGCCATCTTAGTCCTTCTCCCTTTAGGCAGCCTGTTTTGGCCCTGAGATTTTGGCAGCCTCTGCCGAGCGGTATTTGCCCCCAACGCTGCCGTATCGTGGACCTCTCAGCTCCACGGGAATGTCTTTTTATTGTTGTTCTTGGCGAGTGAATACCCAACGTGCAGCTTGCCAGTCTCTGACGTGGGGGCTGGATTGACTCCGGGGGCTTACCAGGCTACCTCGAAGTGTACGAGGGGCTTTGTTTCTGGAGGCTGCCCCAAATCGGTCTAATTCTATCTTTTTCATCTTTCTTCTCTATACGAAGCTCGATTCCGTTCTTTCTTTTGAGCAAGGAAGCAGTAAGACAACAGATCTTGCTTTTCCCTACTTCTTCATGTTGCCAGATGCCAGTGATTTGGAGGAGGTTCCTACTCGGTGAAAAAGCCAATATTCCTTGGACACGACCAGCTTCCCTTTGAAACAACGTATATTGTCATCCTTTACATTCGGATTTTCTATCGTTGTGGGCACTCTTGCAATCATTTCTTCCGATAGCAATTCAAAAGAGCGCAAAATGAAGCTACAGTAAAGGGGCGATGGCGTGGGTCCCGCAACGAACTAGATTCAAACAGTAGGTGCTTGCCGAAAAGCCGCCCCACATTTTTTCACGGTGAAGGTTAAGACGACAGTTACAAAGGAAAGCAAAAATCAGTCTTCATATAAACAACAGCTATGAAACTGTTCCCACAGATCACGATTCAAGGGTAGGAATTGAAGAGGTGAAAGAGTAATAGAATGATGCCTTTTCATGTTTAATACTGCTCTGCCGTACAGGTTTATTATGATTAAACCGCTTTATTGGTCAACGTTTTGACTGAATCGTCGTCTTCAGGACCTGAAAATTGTTCGAAACTCCTGATCTGCAACTTACCCGACCAAGCGCCCAAACGCGCTAGGCTAGTTGCAACGACTCCCGGAAACTAAACTCAGTGGTGTGTCTCATTGATTCCTTGCTGTTCACGTAGTGGGACGTAGCGCTGGTGGAACCGCAGAAGGTTGGTCTTTTTGCTGGGAACTTTTCCGTGTTTTAGTTTCCGGGGGTCGTTGCAACTAGCCTAGCGCGTTTGGACGCTTGGTCGGGTAAGTCACAGATAAGGAGTTTCGAACTATTTTCAGATCCTGAAGACGACGATCCAGTGGAAAAGTTGACCAATAAAGCGGTACAGCCATAACAAACCTGTACGGCAAAGCAGTATTAAACATTATGTAAAATGCCCAGGTTTCAAGAAGACCGAGCATGGAACGCATGGGGCTTCATATGAATAGATTCGCTCCCCGTAGCCTTTCACAACTTTTTTTCAACAATAGTTCTCTTTATGTAGAACTTTCCTTCCCGTATTCTTCGTTTTGATCATTTGTCAACTTATCAGATTACAGGCTGATAAGGCCTACGTCTGATGGCTCAGCAGGAATGTGAGTTCATACTGTAGGTGACAATCACGTAACAATCACGACAAGGTACATACATATTTTATCATTATTACATTAAAATACATTACATAAGGGACAAGGGTTAACTAGGACAACTCGGCTTACGCCGGTACGATGGGCGCTGTACGATTGTGACGATGTAGCAACAGCAGCACCGTTGTTGCCAGCTTGCAAATTTTATAGTCGTCCAGTGTAGTGCCCGCATCTTGTCTGACAGGTGGCCTCGCTGGCGAGAATATCTCTATTATTACAGTAAGCTCGTCCTCGAGATTCTAAGGAGCTCTCGAGCGGTGTGTAAGCGTAGAGTTACGGTACTTGCCATTAGTACGCAATCGCAGATGCTACCGATAAGTAGCACCTGCTATCTGGTTGGACTGCGGCGAGTTCCTATGACACCCGTGCGACAGGGGCGGGTAGGACTGACAGCAGTTTTCTATCAAATGAATGCAATGCAGGAGAAATCCAAATTTAACCAGGGTTGGATTCAATTAGCTAAATACAGATCTTTGCCCCACCCGTTGTACTTGCCGATATCTCCCACGTCTCCAAAGACTTTCACAAAAAAATCTGCACCGTCCAGTCGCGGAAACCATTTCGCACATTTCAGCCTCCATAAATCGTGTTCAGTGTGGCAGATTTCCATACAGTACAAAACGAAAACAGCAAACTAGCGAATCCTCATTCTTTACCGTGAATCCCTACACAGAAAACAAATCCATACCACAACAGGCTCATCGGACTGAAACTGATCTCTCGTTAGACCTTCCAGAAAATTCTAGGCTTGTACGTCAAATACGACCAAATCGACGGCAATTCATGCGCCTAACTAGCCAAAAACTTACAAAACCAAACAATACTGACTGGAGAGGAGAATATTTCCAGAAATTAGAAAGCGCAGCAATAACCTTTTGCAGTAAAGGTGAACACTACACTGTCATAATACAGTCAAGTTTCAGCTGGTCCTGGAACGCATCAGAAAATGTGGATTTTGATGAGACATTCCACCTATCGAGTGTTTGGAAAACAAAGAGGGCAACACTCCAAGTGTAACATGTGCTATTGAGTTTGTACTTATGCTGATTCGTAAGGAAATGCATGCCGCAGAAAAAGAATAAGTAATTAAACAAACCACATGATCGAATATCTCGCACTTTACCAGTTCATAGTGAAGGAAAAAGCCGTTCTTGAATAGAGAGCATTTCGCATATGAAAACAACAGATTTGATAAGGTTTAATGACTGAAGAATGAAACGATACTCGATTTCGTCAAAATACATGACATCATAACAATTCGAGGACAAGACAAGAATGAGGACGGAGAATTGTGAAAGGCATAAAACCTATAATTTGCTTGCTGCATCCTTATCCAGAAAAAAGAGTAGCCTCTTGCTAAAAGGTCGCACAAAAGAGGCAGGTACATGTTGAATATCAGAATCAAGAATACTCTGAAAATCGCTTTTCACAACACATAATCAAATAGGATTAACAATAAAATATTACAGGAGGCAGAATTCTACCTTGACCATTGAAGCCTTCTCTTCACCAGTGACGATGAACGCAACATTCTTGGCGGCATTGAGTACGGGAAGGGTGAGAGAAATTCGTTGAGAGGGTGGCTTTGGTGAATCAGTGATCGCGACCACCCAAGTTAATAAATCATTCTGCAAGAGCTCTTAATGAGTTGTGCAGCCAGTTAAAGGCCACTTCTGAAAAGAACAAGTCGTTACGCCTGATTTTCTATGTTCGATTACGTCAGCTTTCATCAACCACAACTCATTCTTACTGCTTACTTTCTACTGCTAGCTGCTTCACAGAAAGAGAGGTACTTTTTGACTTTAACTAAGACCTAACCGTAGTGGCATTTGAAGCGAGCAACGACCCCACCACTGCTGCCTCTCATCGTTTTCGAGTGCGAAAATAATTTTTACAAACGGAAGTGTTGTAAACCCACTATTCCACTTTGAAAATGAAAAGGCCTTTCTCATATATTTCTAGCTACATCCACACCCCAAATGTTGATTCTTGATAGATGTCGTCTTCACTCATGTTACCAGGTTCGCGGAAAAGCAGCATACAGGCCCTTTGTTTTTGAAAGAAAGGAAACATATTTTTGCGCCAGTTGAGATGAAAAAGACGTCTTTGACCTATTCAACTATTGTGGTCTTGGAAAGGCATGAGTGGACATGAAGGACATGATCCATCAACATCCCACTTCATTTAATATCTGATCCACCTGATCACCCTGTACAATGCTTCCCAATCATCTACATCCGTAAATAGTTCACATCACCCCCAAGATACTTTTGCACACTTGTACAAATTCCCCTTTCTCTCCGATATAATTGTGAAGTCCATTTGGCCGTATATTAATATCTGGTTGAATACTGATACGACAGCATCTTGAGTTGAAGAATCGTCAAATTCGATATCCACAAAGGACCTGTATCGAAGTTATAAGTGTGATTTGAAACTGACATGTCAGGTAAGAGTCATCTTTCATTCATACTTACCAAATAATTTCAAACATGTATATTGCAGTAAAAATCAAAAGCTTCGAATCCCTTTTAGACCAGTGGAAACAACAAGCCGTTGAGACATCGACCGAAACTCTGAGAACACTTCTGCTATAAAAAACATGTGTCGGAAAAATGGCCAAAACGTCGTACATACGCACGATGTTGCATCCACAGTCACGAAATATAGTTTTGGATTTTAACTTCTTCTTGTTTTTGGATCCCGTTTCGTATAGTATATACATTTGGCTTTCATTTGAAACCGTAGTGGCTGACTATTCTAATAAGGATAACCGTTAGAAGAGAATCGCGAGAGCTTGCATAAGTTCCTTTGCAGGCTTGCATAACACAGGTACTGCTCGGTATGGAAATTATGGAGGATGCACTCAAGGAATCGTTCCATTTTTAACACAACCCTACCAAAAAATTCATGTATTGAAGGATTTATCAGAGGACGACGTTAAATAAAAACCTAAGCGAATGCAAGCATCCATTTCGCTTTGGCTTTCACAAGCACATGATACGCCCCAATCGCAATGCACGACGCATTCAATGATCTGCATACCGGAAAAATACTTCAAACGGCAGCCGGTCGAGGGTTTCAATTGCATTCCGAGATCAGTGGTGCTCGGATGGCGCGAGATTAGATTAATGGTGGTTGCAGCATTCATTTTCAAACAAGTCAGCTATTTTTGCTGGGTCACCGAAATTGTGTGTGATCTAATCTAGCCTAGTTGGCATTTTGGTTCCTTGAAAGCCCTTGAGACTAGGTAGCATCGTTGTGATCCCATCAAACTGATAAGGCAACCTTCACTTTCAAGATCAGCCTTTAAAGACACGGTTGACGATAAGAATGGTTACTCAATTCTTTTCTCAGAAATACTCAGTGGCCATCAAGGGTGATAGAAACGACCTTCTCGCGCCCAAAAACTCCATGGTTAGGGAATAGTGGAAGCCCTGTTCTCTGCTCGCGCGGCCTTCCCGCCCCTCGATCAATGTCACATCAGACGAGGGTCGAGGCGATACAGATTGCAACTATTCATTGTAGGGCTCACACACAATCAGCTGATCGCCGAGTTATGAGACGATGTTTTCCTCCCATTCTTTTTTCCTGTTATTCTCTTGACTGCCGCGATTCCTTATATAATTTCCTCCCCCACGAGGCTGAAAAAGGTGAGCTACTTTTGCTCCTATCAGGGTTTTTCGTTTACTTATGCTTAAAGAGTTCCTTCGCTTTCATCGCACTAATTTCCATCTTATCTCCATTTTTCGCCATAATCTGGATAACCCAAAACTATCGTGAACTGCCCTTTAACTCGTTCGACAGCTTCATCGGGTATTTACCATAATCGCTTGAGAGTAACATTATCGAATACAATCCAACTTTTAACAACAGCTCTGTTACTGGATTGTTTTCTTCAACTTTTCACGAGGTCTGTATACTGGCTTTAGCCTTTTCGCCAAAACGTCAGCCTAATAAAGCTAATATATAAACCTCGTGAAGAGTTCAAGAAAACAACCCAGTAACAGAGCAATTACGCCGAGGTTCATAGAAAGCCATACGTGGAATTTTAACAGCCACCATTCGCTTCACGAAAGGGTAGTCTCCATTACGTTTGAAGCGCAAATCGCAGACACTAGCTCGCTGCGTGAAGTGTATCTCGCTCAACTTACGTGGCACCTGAACACCTAGCTCTATTACTGGTCCGAAATACTCGAACTTTTCATTAAGTATTTCCATGGATGCGTTGGTCTCAACAGTAAGTTCTTACACGGTTACATGGAGGTTGGTTTCGGGTAATGCCATCAAACACCATCATCCTTGCCTACTGGTCAGCCGTTGAAGTGAAAGTGCTGGAAAGAAAAGTTGTGAGCTAACTTTCACATGTGCTCTGTGATGAGACATTGCCAGCTTAAGTTTCACGTACATCATGGAAAACACCAGCAACTCTTTAGCCATAATAGAGAAAAAAGTGAAATGTGCAGAAACTGCTATATCCGACATGTTTAGATCGAAGCTAAAATGACTAATGGGGGTAAAATTTGATCAGTTTCCTCAAAAAAGTACAAATATATGCCTGTAATATATATTAAATGAAAAAACGTTCAGAACCGTTTTGAAAATCAACTTTCCGAACAATCCAATAAATGGCCGAATTCTATCGGTCGTAATGTAATATAAATTATGACATCAAACCCAGACTGATGACACTGACGACTAACCTATGGCCGGCCGAAAGTCTTCGGCGTTGGCACAAGCGTGGATCGTTGTTCCGACGCCCACGAACGCTCAGAGTTGACGTATTAAAGGCGCTCCAACAGGCCGGTTATGCTTCGTTATTTACATGTATCACTAATATCGCTTTCAGGGACCGTTATAGTTATTTTGATATATCCAATATGTAGACCGAAAAGTGACAAGGAACCATTCTTCTGTCAAAGTCGCGCCCAACATACACCACTAAGCAAATTTCTAAGTTGTAGACAGCCGAATAGAGCATCGCGTAGCCTTTTGCCTTTCACCTTTTGCCCATGACTCAAGGGAAAGTACATATAAAGGTGATCTTGGCATTAATCCTGGATCTACTATTGAGAACTCTGAATCCGCTTCAACGTAGCAGAACAAAATGATCTACATCTTTTGTGTGCCCTAGTTCAGCTCTTTTACTTCTTCAAAACACCAGAATCGCAAGAGCTCAAAGCACTTTTCCACATTCCCAGCTTCCCACAAGCCGTGAATGACAAGAAGGACCAAAGCCCAGGTTCAAGGGTGGATGGAACCAAAAAGCAAGGTTGTCTTTGACGTCGACAACGATCCCCAAGTACTGCATAACCCACTACTCCCTCTCGAGTGGCTTCTCGAGAGGCGGAGCGCGAGGTTAAGCTCGTGCTTAAACTCACTTGCAACTTCGCAGAGCTTGGGCACGGTACAATCAGCTCAACCCAACCCGATCTACTCTTCTCGATCAATAAGTATACTGAACCATCTTCTTTACTGTTGCATTACAAAGGGTCACCACCCACGCCTTCCGCAACCGTCCTGATTATTATCCAAGAAATGGGAAAAAACTTCATGACCCAAAAACCCGTTCTACTCATGAAGAAGCCCGATATTGGACCGTATGCATGCTACCCAGAGTGAGGGGAGGGGAAAAAACCTCGAGGTTATAAACGAAACTAACGTTTAAATGGCTTTTTTGTTTTGTCGTGAGTCAGATAAGTGACTGTGGAACAGAGAACTTGACGCTCCCAGTGTCGAGTGAGCAAAGTGAGATTGGTATCTGAAGATCGTGTGTTCCGATTAGATTGACCGGAATTCATAGAGGGTAGGTATTCATCCTAAAAAGGCACTACAAGGATTCTACGAAAAGCACTTGGAGAGTTGTGAAAACTTAGGAACAAGCATTCAATTATTGCGCATCTAACTAAAAGTGAACCTGATTAAAAGCAAAACTTCAAACCATAATGCTCCCATATCGTCGTTGAGTAAGCAAAAATATGTTGACAAATGAAGAGATCGTGTGTTTCGATTAGAGTGACCGGAAGTACGATGGTGAAGCGTTGAGAAAGAAAGTCTCTTCATCCTTCATCACGCTGAGAAAGAATTTTCGACCCAGGAATTTCATTATCGCCTGTGACCCCCTGATCATCGATTTCCTCGAGCGGGCGCCAGTAACATCTCATCCGTTCCTGTCGCTAGCCGCAGTGGTCCAGTGAATCGTCCTCGCTCGTGGGATGCGAGGCATAGCATTCCTGTTGTTCAAAGCTCTCTTGAAGAAGCCTGACCATAGCGCTTGAGGACATCCTGGTATTCTTCTGACGTTCCGAGGGATCCAGTCATTACCCGCCCTGTTCCAGTCATCACGATATCGCATAACGTGTCCAGCTCACCTGATCTTCGATTTCATGGCGTAGGGAACGGCATCCCTGATCTTTGTTCGATGACGGTGGTCGGAACTCCTACATTTGCGTGCATAGGGAAATTAAAAGCATCGTACTTCTCATAGCGCGCTGAGTAACGCTGACAGCATGTTCATCCTGCTTTAGTAGGGTCCTGGTCTCCGAAGCGTAAGTCAAAGCAGGAAGGACAGCGGTGTCGAAAAGGTGACCGCAAAGTCGGCTGTTCTCCGTCTTCTTCTCTCAACCCTCGACATTTT